CTACGGTGGCAACATACCTGGTGGAGGACCTTGGTTTTGAGCGTAACCTTGTTGAACCCTGTTGGTATTCAAAATTTGATGAACATGGGCAATGCGTTGCGCAAATCTTAGTCGAAGTGGACGACTTCATCATTGCCGCTCAGAAGAATCACTACGGTTCGATCAAAGAGTCCCTGACCAACAGATTCAAGTTTGGCAAGTGGGAGGAGAGTGAGGCAGAGTATGCGGGAAGGCACATCAAATGCACACCAGACTGCATTTACGTTGATCAGAGCAAATACATCATCGAGCAAATCCATCCAGTAGCTCTACAGAAGGGGCGTTGCACCCAGAAGAACTCCCAGCTGACGGCTGAAGAGTTCAACGCTCTGCGATCCTTGACCTTCAAGTTCAACTGGTTGGGACGCGAGACCAGACCTGAGGCAGCTGGTCTAGCATCCATCATGGCGAGCCGTTTGCCAAATGCAACCATTGAAGACGTAGGTATAGCAAACAAGTTTGTCAACTATCTACGATCAACAGCAGACAGAACTCTTAAGCTCTGGAAATTTGATCCTCACACCATGTGCTTCATCGCCATCTCAGACGCTGGCGGGATCAACACGAAAGGCAGTGATCTTCTGGATGACGAAGGGCTTCCAGCCGATGCGACCCAAGGCGCATGGATTGTTTTGGCAGCAGAAACTCTCCCAGAAGGCAAACAACGCGTCAGGGCATCACCAATCACCTGGCGCTCCTCCAAACTGAAACGCAAGGTCTTCAGCACGTTTGGCGGAGAGACTCAAGCCATGCTGCAAGGAGTGAACGAAGTAGATTGGCTCCAGGTGATGTACCGAGATGCAGTGCACCATGATGTCCAACTGAGCTGCTGGCGCAACTCACTCAGCCCTCACATGATAGTTCTCCGAGGCCAGTGCAGTTTAGGAGGACGTCAACAGCAGTGCTCAGTGACAGATGCGAAGTCTCTTTTTGATCGTCTTCTTAGAGAAAATCCTAGCGGCAAACAAGATCGCAAAAGTGCTTTGGAACTAGCAATAGTGCTCAGAGATCTGCAATCAACAAAATCTATGGTGCGGTGGGTTCCTCATCAGAAAATGGTAGTAGATCCTTTGACTAAGCTTGATCCTGCACGAGGCAATGATGCGCTGAATCAGTTCCTGAAGAGCGGATGGCTCTCCTTGGTGGATGTCAAAGAGGAGATGGACCAGCGCAAAAGTGACGTAGCTTTCCGCCGTAGGAGCCACTCTGCCAGTCACAAGAGGCTGCAAGCAGAGTACGAAGCGAATGTAGAGCAACTTTTTTGTCAGCTTTTGGTCAACAACAGTTGGGGGGACTGTGGAATCATGACTAAGGATGACATCATATCAATTGACCAAAAGACAATTCCGCCATCTTACTGATGGCTCAAGATTCGATTCGTCCGCTGACCTAGCGAAAGAGTCCGCATAGGCATGTCTTGTTTGTGATTGGGGCCAACACCTCTACTTCATTTCGAATGATTTCTGAGAGGACTCTGAGCCGGCTAATTTAGAACCACATTTTTTTTTGAACATCATTGCACGAGACGCTGAGTTTCTACAGCGGTCTACATCTCAACCGACGAAGGAACGGGAAGGTAAACTTCTAGTTCCATAGTCATCTTTGTGTTTGATTTTTAATTCACATGCTTGAGTGGGACTCCATGCAGGCTACGCCACATCGGATGAACCTCAATGCTTGACACCGACTACGTCGTGTCAACATGCACGTGAACAGAACCTTTATCTTTTGGTAGAGATCGTAGCAAGCCGCCATGTAGATTTGAAGTTCTGAACGGACTTTAGCTCTCCATAATTCAATAAATGAACAGCTGCAAGTGTAGTGGATCAATTTGAGGAACACTCCTTTGCGCGTAGCCAACAAAGTTGGCTATGCGTGGGGGGTGCGAATAGAGTGTAGGCTACGTACCATTGTGCATTCACATACAATTCAACACTCTAGGATCCATTGCCAAGGGGGTATATCAAATCGCCCCTTTGGCTCAAGACCCACTGCAGCACCAGAACAAAGAACTGCCATGCAGAAGCCGCCACCCGTGTGACGTCATCACCGAAGTATCTACTTCAAGACCAAGTATCAGAACATAATCGGATAGACAACCTCCGATTCACACATACATTGCATACATTACATACAAACATACATACATACATACATACACACACATTCATTCATACAAACATACATACATACATCCATACATCCATACATCCATACATCCATACATCCATACATACATACATCCATCCATCCATACATACATACATACATCCATACATACATACATCCATACATCCATACATACATACATACATCCATCCATACATACATACATACATACATACATTACATTACATACATACATACATAACATTACATTACATTACATTACATTGCATTGCATTACATTACATTGCATAACATACATACATACATACATACATACATACATACATACATACATACATACAAACCTTTATATATACATATATACATATATACATATATATATATAGTCACGCACACTTGACCTGAGTTTTCTCGGAAACGCATCGCTGCATCGCCTTTCAAGGTGACCCGGCTGCGGTGTGCCAACTGTTCGGCCCCGGTGGCGGGGCGAATTGGCAAACGCTTTGTGGCCCTGCCGTTGGGCAGCGGGGAGACCCAGGTGGGGGATTGGTTGGAGACGTTTGGATACAAATTGGGAACTGTGAACATCAAAACCTCTGCGAAATATATGTGAATGTCAGATTTCCAGAGATTTTGACAGAGATTGTTAAGGACATTCTGGGTTTGAGCCTGGTTAGATGTTTTGGATGTCAGGGTTCTATATTAGCGAAGTGAATAACAAAGTGATTTATCAGTGTGACACATGGCGCACCAGGGGTGGCTTCATGGTTGGCTGGCTGGATGGGTTGGGAATCTGCTTCAGCTGGCGAGGTTTCGTGCAGCCAGGTGAGGCTCGCGCTGCATGGAAGCCGAAGCATCACTTGTCCCTCGCCTTGTGGTGGTAAAAGCGTGATTATAATATACGTAATACAGTAATCATCTAAAATGACTATGTTAGGAATGTCATGTAATGTCATGTAACCTAATGTAATCTCATATAACGTCATGTAGTGTAGTGTAATTCAACGTAATGTAATGTAATATAATGTAATGTAATGTAATGTACTGCAATGTAGTGTAATGTAATGTAATGTAGTGTAGTGTAGTGTAGTGTAATGTAATGTAATGAGAGAACAACCATGAACAACCACTTGGATTTTTTGCACTCCTTTCCTCAAGATGTTTACATGAAAACACGACCCAGTCTGACGAGGAATGGCAGATGCGCATCTTAAGATTCCCAAGCATTTCCCGCTCGATAGATGCATGTACCTAAGTTACCAGATTCTAAGCCTGGGTTATTTGTTTGGTGGAGAACTGATTTGGCGCGGCCTTTTTTCTCAATCTGAACTGAAAAATCGAAATTGTCGCGCCATATATTCTCTCAACACACAACTCTCATTGCCGAACTAGCTTTCGTCCCTTTCCCTGTGGCCTCAAGCAAGTAACTAGCTGTATTATGACCCATTGCATCCCAGCTGCGATTTTGTGCATCAGCAGTGTCGGATTGCACCAAGGCACTACGACAGTCGCATCATGGACTGGGCAAGGGCATGGAAGCTTTTGCCATCCACGCAAGATTGGGATTCCAATTGCAAGCAACTCCCAAGGATCTCATAGATCCTCAAGTTGTGCGTTGTTGCATGGTAAAAGTTCCAATCTCTGATGAATATACCATGAACAGGCGAACAGGAGTTCCAGCTTCAAAATGGACCAGTTTTGCTGGGGGGCCTCATCGCACCACCCCATTTGGGTGCATCATGGCGCATCCCAGTTAGTAAGTGCTTCATGATTCATAATATCCATAACATAAAATTATCACAGGGGCATATTCTGTATATATCTGGGCATTTCACTGTATTATTACCCGGAAGCAAACGGATACGCATCCAGCCATCCAGGATATTTCCGATGACCTGGTCAAGTACCGGGGTCGCTCGCGTGGCCCTGTGTGGGACGCCGACGAGACAAATAGAGGGCCGCGGGCCGCGCTGACCCACTGATTCGTCAGCATGTGTTCCCAATGAATTTGCCAAAACTCATAATTACTGGAGGTTAAATCCTAATTTTCAGACACATTTGAATTGGAAATTTGGAAGTTTATAGAGTGGTATTTTTCATAGACCATGACTAGAAATGAATGAATCTATGACTCAGGGCACCTCGTCACGTTGAAGGAATCCACCTTGGTTGGGAAACGAATTGCATAGATTTGCGATGACTTTATGCACTGTTCTATACTTTTCTTGTATGTGTAAATTACAATTTGACAATTTTTTCCGCTAACAATATGTTTGCCACTTTTACTGCACTTATTTATTTAGCGCTGCGAATTAACTGAAATGGCCTCTGGGTAAATCTTAGGATAAGTTATGTACTTAGTCCATTCTTGTGCCAAAATAGATGCAGAGTGCCTGTGAGCCACTGAAACTTGAAGCTGCTTGGGGTGCTATTGATGTCGATGATACATTCATTTTGGGCGGCTGACATGTTCAAACCTCTAAATTTGAGTAGAAACTAGTAGAAACCTAGCTCTTGCAGATTTTCCCTTGTCACCACTTATCACCCCAATGGTCTTCAGATTTCTTGGTGAAAACATGTGGGTATGGGTCAATACCTATTAATACCATTTTTAGTGGGATGAACATCCATAAATCCCAGCTATGACTTGGGGTTCACTAGGTACCAGGGTTTTGACCCATCCCCATATTTTCAAATCCTCTATTACCCTCTGGTAATTTAACATAGCTATTGAAAATGACAATTTTTAATGGGTAAATCCACTATAAATGGCCATTTTCAATAGCTATGTTAGTTTACCATGTTGAACCCCAATTTTTTCATTGAACGCCATGCCAGATCCACCCGAGTCCGGCGGTGCCCCCAACGCGGGTGCCGCGCCGGGCCCGGGCACAGCGCTGGCCACACCGGGCTCGATACAGTCGCCGATGGCGGAGCCGGTAAAGGTGGAGGTGGGAAGTCAAGAGGATTTCATGGGATTTGTGGATGTTAACTAATGGTCAATGGATGTTAATGATGATTAATATAGATAGATTAGATTAGATTAGATTAGATTAGATAGATAGATAGATAGACGGACAGATAGATAGATAGATAGATATATTAGTCAATGTGGGATTTATCATTGGGGATACAACTTGGAATTGAGATCTACATGGGATTTAGCCAATGGTGATTTAATGGGATTTCATGAGTTAGTGCTTAATAATTGCCAATGATCATGGGGTAATAATGGGATATATACCCTCCGGTGCCATGAAGCATTGCAATTGGATAAGCCCTATAAATGGATGTTTTAATCATGTAATGGCTGATTTTCCATTGCTATGTTTGATTACCGGAGGATGTACTTGTTGATGTTGATTGATGATGATTGCCTTGGATTTAGATGGTCATGATGGTTCTTTGGTTGTGTTTCTTGTTTACTTGATTTGTTGAGTGTTTTAAAAATGATCTTTTGTGATTTTAGTGCATTTGGATGATTTTGTTCAACATATTGTTTGGGTCAATTTGGGATGCGTATGTAGACATAAATGATCCCCAATGTTTCTTTAGTTTTGTTATATAGTAATATTGTATATAAAGCATACATGATCATACAAAAATATCACTTAAAGTATGCAATGTTTCCTTAGTTTTGTTGGATATGCATTATATATACATACATATATATATATAATATAAGTACACTAGCATATTATTGTGTTTGTGTGAACTGATTTGACTGTAGTGGTTCAGGACTCATTGTGGGAAACCCATGCGTATATATATATATAATATTATAATGTGAAACCGTGCGCTGGTGAATGTTGGTGGCGTGAAGGGTTTGCATTTGTTGTATCATTATCTGAGTGAAACATTCCGAAATTTTAAGGGCTATCAGTGTGGTACACGAGATTTCTTTACGGAGCTTAGGGGCACCCATAGGCCCATAGGGTATCCATTTTCCCTAGACATGCCATGGAAAACCGTGGAGCTACGAGTTTCCCAACCACAAAATTTTCTCTGCTGACTTATTGGTGAAGTCAATCCCATAGGGTATCCCGTTTTTTTCAAGGCTTAAATTCCATTGAATCCCTCTTTTTAAGCCTTAAACTTCAATAAAATCACCATATTTAAAGTTTAAATCTCGTAAACTCAAAATTGTTAAAGCTTAATTCACTTAATTCCAATAAAACCACCATGGTTTGAGGGATTCAAAGCCCTGGCTGGATTCAAAAGGATGATGGTTTGAGGCGCTCCTGGCTGGCCACGCTGCAGCTGCTGGGCATGTTGGGGAGCTTGGTTTAGAAAGATGAACTGTCCATAAAGGTATAACCGGATATGACCTACAAATTGAATCATCTTCATGGATGGATAGTGAATCTACTTCACTAGGACGAAAGTCTAAACTCCCGTGCCCTGTTTCAGAACAAAGCAGTTTATATCTCTTTGCGGATCACCGGATCAGCTTCGGATGGCCATTGCGCGTGGCCTGCTCGGTGGATTCGCCGGACCTCCACCGCGAGCACCGGATCAGAGGGTTCCCCGCCGGGCACCACAAAGAATCTCCGAAGATATACCAGACTGCCAGATATGTCAGAAAATGTGTGAAATAAAAATTGAATGCTAGACATAGAATGTCAGAAAATATGTCAGAAAAATGTCACTTGGTGGGGATCACTCGAAGAAAGTTGTTGTTTAGCTTACGAATGGTCCATGGTCCACCGACCCAAGTAGACAGTTCTTACGTAGAGACTTGTGCTGGAGGTGTGCTGGAGGTGTATTATCCATTAAGTTGCATGCAACAAATTTCAACCATCCAATATGGTGATTTTATGGAACCAGAACAGACGACTAATGCGGCATAATGCGAGTTTTTTTGGGGGCAGAGTTGGCAGAGTATTTAAGATTCCGCCATGGAAGGGCCAGTGGATCCATGTTATTTTGCGGCAATCTGATTCATTTGACCTGCGCCATAGTGAATGTCAACTTCTAGGAAACTGATGTGAAGAAACATGCGCAGAGGTGACCCTATGACTCATGACCCTACGCTGCATGTGAGTGGAGTCAGCAATGCAATGCGTCTTTTCTGAAAGGTAGCAAGACAACTGTCTTTTTCATGAATGATGCTTTGATACTCCTAATGTCAATAGCCCTGACTTGGTAAGTGCCACCATGGAGATTTGCTGAGGCGGTGACCTACACCACCACCACAACCACCACCACTGCGGTGACCATCAATGGGGTCCCTCGACCACGCAGGGTTTCAGATTTTAGGTTTGGAGGCATTGCGACCACGCAGGGTTCCGTGAATCCAGCCTCAAAAAGGCAACATATCGATGACATGTATAGTATATGTCCGTGTATATGTTGACGGAAAATTCCACTACACCGAAGACCACGGATGGAGAACGGATGAAGAGCACAGCCCCAAAAATAGAGCTGGCTGCTGTGAGGCTGCTCCCGGTGGCTTTGCTCCGCCCGGATGCCTCAGTTTGACAGTGTTGTGATCCAAATTCATTGTGGCCGTTAGATTGATCAAGTATTGCTGTCATGTCTTCTGTTCGCAAAGGGGGTTGTATCAAAAGGAGGGTGTATCAAACCCAAATTAAGGTTTTCAGAGGCTAAGAAAATCCCAACTTTTGCTAGTTAAGTAGGAGGGGCTAGCATCTCTGATATCCGCATGTGCTGCATGGTCATCGATCATCATCAATCCTTTACTAGGGATGGCTATGGATTCCCATCATGGGATCGATCCATTCATACCCCATATATCATCTAATCATCTAACTTGACCATGGCTCATAATCGCTCATAGATTATATCATATATATATACGATACATATATATATCATATTGTATATTTATATGTATATATATATATCATATCATATTTCATTAATATCCCACAGCCCACATCCCATTAATAGTCTAATATTTGTTCATTAATATCTATTACTGTATGTGTTTTTTTATTATAACTACTGTATATCCTTCCAAGTTTGTTAGTTTTATACCCCTGTAGCTTATATGATACGTAGATATTAAGCGTTCCCATGACACTGCGGTGTGCTGAATCTCCAGGTCGCCCGTTGGTCCTCCCATTGAGTACGCGCCGCAGGTGGAGCTGGCGTTGTTGGCGGCGAGTGGAGCTGGGCTGGCTTGGAAAATGTATCGAAAAAGAATAACGCAACAACGGATTAGCTATGATTAACTCATAGATTCAAAATAAACTTCGTTAATCATTGAAAACTTATAAGAGAAATCCAAACTCAAAATGTGACCTGGTCGCCTTACCCTAAATCCACAGTGAATCGCCGTTCCAAAGTTGGTCTTAAATAGACACCGTCGTCCCGAGGCAGTCGGGATGAGTTTCCCAGGGTCGGGGGGTGTATAATCCATTATCCAACCTGCTAATGACATGTAACGACAACAACAAACATTAAAAACCAAAACTGAATTCCATTGATCTTCATGTTCCTTAAGACATCCTTAGGACATGTAGGATGGGTGATTCCCTCT